TATTAAATCATACAAAATTAAAATAACTTTTCATAAAGTTCAGGCTTATACAGATAATACTCTTAATAATCTATCAGACTCACTAGCCAAACAACATACAACAGCATCTAAACTCAGCTTTCATTATACCAATATTTACAACCCATATCATATTTTACAATATGATGATGAAAAGTTCACTGTTGAACTTCCAACTCGGTACTTCAAAACTATTGGTAAAGCACACATCCTCGCTATGTGGTTATTACAACAACAAAATGAAGAGTGGTCACAAACTAATGACAAAATAGACTGGAGATCAACCTGGCTATTCTTTAATCATAATCATAAACCTACTCACAACATTACTAATTTTAAACTCAACCAATTCAAATCTTTCAAAATTAAAACACTACTTAATGAACTACCCACTTATTTTCTTCATCACAAACTTTACCCTTCAATTTTTAATAATGCTAATTGTTTCCATTGTGAAACACCAAACTCACCATTACACTGGCACACCTGCACTAGTCTTACTTTACTTAATAGTATTATCTCTACTACTACTAACAATTACCTTACATCACTTGAACTAGACCTCTCCTCTTCTCAAATAAATGAACTTATCTATAAAATTTAAAATTATGAAGCATTCATTCTATAGCATTACAACCCTCTTCTTACTATTTAGAACTTACACTTAAAGGCCTAATCCCTAATTCAATTATTCAAACATTACAAGACTTCAATATTCCTTACAAATCAGGCTCAAATACTATTATTGAACTGCTACTTAAAATCAATGAACAAATATATAATCAAATTTGGAAACCATACTGTATCAATTTTTCTAACTGGAGAAAACACCATGAACTAACTTATCCCTATACTTTACGCACTAATGCATCATCAAACCGTAACAATCACAATCTCACTTGTAGAAATTATACATACTCTTGCCTATGTAAATTATCAGATCACCTGCACTCTGATTCAGGCACTTGCCCACCAGCTGGTTAGGCTAACAAGAAAATTGGTATCTGGTCTAAATACTAGATAAACTATAGTACTTCTTTAAACTACATTCCAACTATTATAATCTAGGTGAGTCTTTGGCCACTCTAGTAGGTTTAGGTCACAGATAAATATGTCTGAGCTTTTATTCTTGCATATAATTTTAGTTTTACTTATATTTGTATAAGTAGTAGTATTTCTATATAGTATTATTATTATATAGTTACTATTTCCAAAATTACTTAATAAAGGCCTCACCTTAATACTAAAAAAAAAAAAAAAACTCTTTCTGATGATCACTTGTACCAAATTCTCTTTACAAACAATTTAATTTTTTAGACAATTTTACTAAGTAAACTGCAGTTAGCTGTCTAAATAAACTTGTTCTATACAAGATTTTATATATAGATGGCTCTTTATTGTATCTCTTTAGCTCTTCTACAAAGAGATATAGCACACCTGTTTAAATTTCTTTTTATTTAAAAATCACAAACTTTTATTAAGTAAATACTACTGCCTTCTTAATAGAAACAAATAAAGCTTATCTAGAGCTTCATTTTGATATATAATACATAGCAAACAGACTTAAACCTATGTTTTTATTTTTAAAACTCTGCAAACTCTCTTGCAAAAACTCTGCTACTTTTTTTGCAAAAATTTTTTGTTTTTTTGGGAAAGTCCTGGCTCCTTAGGATGCTCAAATCTGCAGATCACCATTACAAATCAATATTACTAATTAATTTATATAAAAATATTATCTGTTTCATCTATTTTTATTTTTATTTTTAATTTACTATTTTAGTCTTAATAATTTTATACAACTTTTGTTAAACTTTTGTTACGTCACACTAGGTCACACAAGCATACAAGCCACATTAGCCACAATATACTTATCTTGTTGTTATACAAGATTATATAAGGTTATACTGACCAGCCACACTAGCCGCTATTTAATTTAACCCCTGTTTTTAGTTTAACCCCTAAAACAACTGTTAAATTTAACAAAAATAAGTTTTTTTAATAAAAACTTAGAATTTTATTAACAAAATGCTTACTTTAACTAGCCAGGAATCAGACATTATGACCTGGACTATTTTCATAACAATATAGTAACCGATATGGCACAATGATTCGTGAAGTTTAAACTAGCTTATTAAAAGCAATGCCTTTCACATTCAATCTAAGTGAATGCAATACTCTAAAAACTCTTTATTTCTTCTGTATACCGAAAAAACTAGCTATCATCAGCCCCAAGCCACTTGGCCTATTAAGGAAGAAACCTGTGAGGACAGAGCGAGAAGGCTGAAACTCGGGGTACGTGGTAATAACTCGAAATGGCTAGATTCACCGGGCTGGTAGTACAACTGTACAAAATCAGGCTTGTATACCAGAAATTGATAAGGAACACCAAACACTGAAATTGGAAGTATTACGATACGAAACCCGCAATCTGGAAGTTATAGGCAATCTATAACGCAACACGGCAGCCTGTACCAACACACGGGAGTACCTACCTATAAGGTAACGGGAATTGGCAGCATACTAACTAAACTAAGCATTAATGACGAGGCTTATCCTGGATCAGCATGGAGCCTACTTGTAGGACTCACCTGAGCAGGCTAGCTGAAGATAACCAAGATTGGAAGTAGTGCTTGAGGCTACGAGGCCATATCCCAGGAGGGATTACCAAATTTGGGAGCTTAGGTATAAGTAGTATGAGAGATGCGGGGAATGACATCATAGGGAAGTGTACCGAAATAGGACTCGTGAAGGGTGGTAAAATATCGGGTGAGTAGGTCGATGATGACGTGCCACTCTGGTAGGTTTGGATCGCAGATAATTGGATCGGTGGCCGGTAGCGGATGGGGACACCTATTGCGCAAGTGATGGTTTCGGCTAGAGCGTAGGTTACCAATAGGATCCAGGTCTGAGCTTGGTGTACTTGATATATATAATACGGAAGATGTGATGATACATGTAAAGTATTATTAATAAATAAAGTCATGGGCAAGATCTCACCTGAACACCAAAAAAAAAAAATTAAGAATACATATAATTAGCAAAAAAATAAATTACAAATATATGAGAATGATTTTTAATATAATATTAAAAAACTGTAGTATTAATATATTAAAAAATAGCTTTTGTTGACAAAAAGACTACTCACAAAAATGTCCATATAATTTATTCCACCTATTTGAAAATTGCAATAATAGTATTAGATTTAGTTCTATAAATATCGTTTCGAAAATATTATATTAAACTTAATTAAACTTAATAGCTAATTTTTATGTGGTAGCGATCAATAAAAAAAAAATCAAGTTCATAATTAAAGATTCATTATCTTGTAACTGGAAAGTCACTGAAGAAAATTAATAATGTTACCAAAACTTAAAGTTCCAATAACACTATCTAGTCACCTTCCAGTGATCTTTCAGTGACAATGCTGATTTTAATATTTCAATAGCATACCTATCTTGATGGATTTCAAGCATATTAAATACTTTATCTTTTTTGACTCCAATCCCTATTTTTATAAACTAATACAGCATGTTTTATCGGCATCATTATTATAAATTTCAGATTGCCTTTTTCTGTTCACCTCTATTTTGATAATAAACCAAAAATTATATATTATATTAGCATAACCTATCTTGCAGATTTAGTTATTATCTAAAGGTTCTCTTCTTATCTTTTTCAACTTCAATCCATTGTTTCGCATTATTTCTAAATTTATGTCCATTTAATATTATTAAAAAAAAAGCAAGCAAAAAAATTTAAGCCTGTCAGACATGCCTTTTTGGTGGATCTCATAGACTTTTCGAACACTTTACATTCATTCTTTTTAACTCTAGCTTTATTTTGGCAAAGAAACAATGTTCCATATTTTATTGGTATGGTCTATATTTCATTAGCCTGAATTTGCTTTGCAAATTTCAAATATTTTTATATGTTTCAATTATTTAAATTTGGTCGTATTTAAAGTCATTATAGTTAATTCTCTTATTGGTGAATATGCACTCCTATGTATGTACGTCATTTGTGTCATCTGTATCACCAAATATGTCACTAAGTCACTTATATCATCTATGTCACCTATATGTCACACTACTCTGCTATCCCATACAACTTACGTCAATTCAACCCAAAAATAGTACATCATATATGTCAAAGCTATAGTGCTATAGGATGTAATTACCCAGAGAAATGTCTCTATCTCTAGTCTATATTCAACCAACACACAGGAGCCTCTATATAAAAATATAGAAGACACAGTATTCTAATTCTAATTTGATGTATTAGTATTCTCTAATATATACTAGTGCAGTGGTTTAGTTATACAAGGAGTTGTCTAGTAAGGTAGCAAAACTGTAGACAAGCTTGAAT